ACTAAGCAAGTCATCGATTTATTCAACAATCAAGCTAAACGTTTCGTTTCGTGTAAAAAACGCGGCCGTACATATTAATTAATAGAAATAATTCGTTTTATCAATTCATTCATTAGAATGATCATTTTATATGATAACCCGTAAACATAGGGCGTATCAAAAAAAACTGAACAGATTTGAAATTGCTCTCAATTTCGCAAAACACCTATTTGTAGCTGTTTTTTTATATATATAGCTTCTTTGGGTACTTATAATGTAAAATAATGAAAAAAATTTCTCGAACTCAAATTTTGTGAACCAGGGGGGTGTGTCTTTTCCAACAAATTAAAAATGGCTCGCGCACAAAATTTAAAAGCTGTAATAATATTTTGAGTTAATAGATTGAAAAGTTGTTGGGTTTTTAATTACTGTACAAAATTTCAGACAATTTGGTTCAGTTTAAGCCCCTTTAACTATTCATTTTGTTCTAAAAAGTCAGCTTTTCGCATGCTTAATTAATGCCTTTACCTAATTTGCATATTGCTGACATATGCAAATTAGGCAAATGCTAATATTAAGCATGCAAATAGCTGATTTTTCGGGAAAATTGTAACTTTGCGTGAATACGCTATTTACAGTTACCTTTAACTGCTATTTACAGTTACCTTTGATGCCTCACGAATGTGGGACATCAAAACCATGCCAGAGCGCTCAAACTGCAAGCAGTGAGCGTGCGCAATGCGTAAGCGGCAATGGCTCATCCTGTAGAGCGCTCAATATGACCTAAAGGCCATAGAGCGATATCTAACTACAGACGGTACCGTTTCGGCCTTATGGGCCTCATCAGTGCAGTGCTGATGAGCAGGATGAAAGTAACTGCTATTTACAGTTACCTTTGATGCCTCGCGAATGTGGGGCAAATATATATTTATATACCGGGTGTCCCAAAAAAAAGTACTCCGGTTTGATTTATAATAACTTCTAAACAAGTAAAGCTATCAAACAGAAATAACTTGCATTAAATAGAGGAAGGACTAACTTAGATTTTGTATATAACAGTTGTATTTTACTTACAAATTCACGGATATATTAATGTTCAAAATCTGGAGCATATTTTGGGATGTGTCTAAAATTAGCGAAAATCGGCATATCAAATAGAACTCCAGCATTTGTTTGCTTAATGACATATGCAGGCTAACTTGTATTCAGCGAATTGTCGTTAGGGTTTGTAAGGGATATAGCGTAGATTTAGACATCTTACACGTAAGTCTTAGCTCGTTGTTTCCTGAAATATGAACGTTCGAAATTATGCAAGTATTTAATAGGCGTTTACAAACTTAAAGGTACATGAAAGACCATGCAAGGCAGGCGCTTAAATGTTTCTTAACTAGCCTAATTTTTTTGTTTATTATGTGTTCAAAACAGAGTCGATTATTTCTCGGTTAGAGCAGGATGAATATTATTCTTTAATGAAGGAAATAATATGGTTTTTTGCAAACACATATCACAGTATCAACGCTACTATTTTGTTATGTTTTGGTCCAAAAATGTTGGATGTCTCTGGGGAGTTGCTTGTTATTATGTCTTGCCAAGATTAAGAAAAGGGAAAAGAGTTTGAGTGTTCTTAACAAAATTTCAGAACGTTGCAGAAGTTAGAAGAGCTTCACAATTCCATAGTGACAAAATTCGGAACTACGAACGATCCATGACGATCCTTCGTGATGCAGTGGTCTCATGAAATAAGAAAACGTATTCGTGCTGGGAACACACGCGTATTTCGGACAAATAAATCTTGCTTGTATTTTGTAGCTATATATACAATAATACTTTGTTTCATAATAAACAATTTGTCAAGTGTTACCAGAGAAGTACCAGGCGGGAAATGAATTCTAATAATAAATATTAAAGCCCAGCAAAGTGCTTTTAAAAGAGCCATAAACCATTAAATTTAAAATTTTATTAAAGATTTAGTAACGTTTCGTCTTAACTCAAGACATCTTCAGACTATATTAAATTACAAGCTGTAAGAATAATTAAGCATAAAGTAAAGCTATCATAGCAATATTAAATTACAAGCGAATACGAGGTACACAAAACGTAAGGATAAGAAAGGATAATGAAGGAAAGTGACGGACAAAAATGAGAACCTACAAATTAGACGACAACACAAACAGGCAAAACATAAAAAAGAGATCAGAATACGTGAAGAAGAGCTGAACTGCCTTGAACGTTGAGAGAGGGTTTCATTTTAGATATAAAAAAGCGTAAGATTTCAAAACGTATACTTTTTTCAGGACCCCCTGTGTACAGGCGGCAGGCAAGATAAGCAAGAATATTTCAATATTATCACGACTAACCTTTTAACTAGGCGAAGAAATATATCAGAATTTATTGCCTGAAAATGCAGGGAATCAATCCCCGAGGCTTAAAATACGAAAATGCTAGGAACAAAGATGGTCTCCTAGAATGAAAACCCCATACATGTTTGAAATACTACAGTTCACAGCCTATATCTTACAGTTAGGTCCTACAGTCAGGTCTTCCAGTTGATCCTGGCAGCCACAGGCGAACCCTTAACACTGCAGGCCTTCGACTCAATCCAGTTCTCATCTTTTTACAAGTTCTTATATTCAATACCCAACCATATAACTCCAAATAACCAGCAAATAGTGATACAAATACAGGTGTACATCATTGGCATTCTGTAAAAAGTAGCACCAGCTAATATGCGACTGAGTATAATGCTGGCATGAAGTATGGTATATGTAAGACTTTGATAAAATGCGGCATCCTCAGCAGGTGTTAGTTTTGATACCAATGAACAGACCAGAGCAAAGTTTACGAACTGGGCACCCATAAATAACATTGAAACAAGCAAAAGATAAGCTGCATTCACCGACAACATATCATTGTCCCAGAACAGAGCGAAATAAAATATTGGTAAAATTTCGAATATTAATGAAACAACACCGAAGACAATGATATTCTTTTCGGAAATTCTTTCCACCAAAAGATAAGTAGCGAGGAAAGCAACGAAGGCAACTAGTGAACTATTGAGGTAAAGTAATTTCACGTGACTTAGTTCCAATCCTAGATGGTACTTTGCCAATAGCGGAATATAAGTGGTAGGGACATTATATAGAATCACCAATAAGGAAATAAGGAAATATAAACAAAAGACAACCGAGGGGGGGCAGCCAGTAATAGTTCCTCCAAATTTAGGTTTATTAATTTCACGATCACTATCAATATTGCCAATACTTGGTTGGTTTTCGTCATAATTTTCCGCGAGATCACTTGGTAGGAACATTGTCAGAGTAAGCAACAATAACCAAATGATTGCCATAAGTACCCCCGGCGAATTCCCTGCGTTAACTTTCCAACCTAATAAAAATAAAACACACAAGATCTCAATTTAAAAGACATATATTTGGAAAATCGTTCATATACAACAAGCTTGAAGCAATTTTGTTTGAAGAAATGAGAAGAATTGATTTACTATGGGAAATCGTGAAATATACGCCAAGTTTCGTTTGAATATTTAATGTTTACAATTTTGTTGCTTTAACTCTTTGGCTAAAAACATGATCTGTT